ACACCATTGGAGTAGGAGCTTTACACACACGTAACAAAAGGTGTTCACTGATACCTGTGTACTAGTGGGATCCATTCAGAACTTGCAAACTGTGCATGAGACGGGAACAATGAATAATCCTTTTTCTATTGTGTCTGCAAGCTGTACCATTTCTGCCTGCTTTGCTTGTCAGATTTCACATGCTGACCCTGGTCAATACTGGATGGGGATACCTCCATGGAAACTTAAGTACCGGTGAATCAGTAGGCACCACTATCTATGATACTAAGTACAGAAGGAAGCCTGGGTATGGTTGCTATGATGCTGGATAACACCTTCTCTCCCCCATAAAACTGAAGTTCTTCTCATCTATACTGCTTAGAGATTACATAATTTTTTTTAATAACAGTGGAGATAGCTTCCTAGTTAAACTTCAAATTGTGTACGTATATTCTGTCTCCGTGAATTCCCCTTACGGTACCAATTCGATACAGTATTTTTCAATTACTGCCTTAAAGTGTCTTGTAGATCTGCTGCGTGCCTGTTGAACAAGTGACTGTCAAGAGACCATCCCACAAGTAACTGTCTCAGTGGATAAATGTACAAAGTCTTGTAAAGTGCTTTGGGATCTTTCTGGAAGAGAGATGCTATAGCTCTGTAAGATGCCTTTACAAGTTTAAGAATGGCTTTAAGAAATTAGTTGAAACATCCCATGAGTCTTTGTGATGGTCCGTGTATTTAGACTAGTGTTAACAAAATGCATTTTGAGTGTCCAGGGATCTTTATGAAAACACAGTACTCTGTTTCGACATCACAAAAACACAACCCTGGTGAATGTATGTGAAGGGGAGATACTTTGTAAAGGTGAAAGCTTCCTTCGCTATTATGGTAGTGAGGAATTTTTGTTAATTTCTAATCCGAGGAAGAGAAGCAGAGCCAACAGCATCTTCTGTGTCTAGTCATTACAGCTGACAAAGCAAGTGCAGATAGCTCGGAAATGACAGTTCTGCTTCAGTTGCACAGACATGTTTCCCCGTCTCTGATTTTGTTTTTCCTTTTGCTATCTTCTCTTTGCCGGAAGAGAGAGATGAACCTTTGGAATGGTTTTGGATAGGGTTCAGGCTTCGAAACAAATAGTGGCTTCTCCTCCCTACTCCTTAGAAAAAACACTTAAACCAAGGTTGTCTGTATTACTCTGCTGTGTAATTTATCAGAACACAGTAGATTCATTTTGTAGTCAATGTGGATGAACTGAAGTTTCTTTGAGTTAACTTTGTTTGAATACTAAATGCTCTTGGGTTAAGAAGAGTACAATTCTGGATAATCTATTCCTAATAAGGAGTGAGTGGGTGCTTGCTTACCTGTTCTTCCTTCTAAGTTGATACTAAACTGATACCCCAACATAGCAGTAGGGGGCATTGTGTTGCTAGAGGAACTGTCTTTCAGATTGGATTTTGACATTCAATTAACCCCTTCATACATAAGTTTAGGTGTTACTTCCGGTGCCCTGGCCAAATTGTAGCTTGGTAATTACTTTCTGATAAAATATAATTCATGTTACACTTCTCCAGTTAAAACTGGATCCAATGTTCTTCATTTTCTATCCGTGTTATTTGGAAAAGCTGCCAAGACAGCTAACAGCTGTTGCCTTTTTATCCGAGAAGGGCTTCTTTTCCACAGTATGCATCAGAATCCTGTGTGTATATGTAGGTTGTAAAGCATTTTGGTATCTGTGCCAGTAGAGGCCTCGGTGTAAGATGTTTCGTTTAAAAAAAAAAAAAAAAAGTGGTGGGGGGGTGGAATTGTTTAGTCCCATTTCGGTATGCATCACTAGTTTAAATTCTAGGCTTCTTTAAGCTGTTTGCATATTTGCTGAACTGGTGTTTTTTAACACCTGATCTGACAATGCCTTGAAGCCTTTTGCTTTGCCTGAAAGCCCCAGGCTACTCAAAAATTCTTTAGGGCAGTGTTTCTGAAAGCTAGAGACCTGATTTGCCATACTGAGGATGAGGGTAGGGTGAGGGTCAAAAGCTTTGTCTCAGTTTTATAACACAGATCTTCTGACTGGCTTTCCCAATAAGGATTTAGTGTTGTGGGGTATTTTTTAATGTAGTGCTATAATATTTTTTGCTAATGAACTATGGGGATAGGTGCACATAAAGGAGTGTAGTTCATGTTTTGCTATTATTTGTAAAACCTTAGAATTGTAAAAAGACAGGTGGTTATGATAAAAGCTGAAGACAGCTAGTTTGTACTTGATTTGCTATTTCATATTAAATTCAGAATAACTCTGCCAAACTAGGGATTGAAAACTCACAGCTGGCATGTGGGTGTTACACTCTTGAGACTGTTGCTTTTTTTTCTTTTACTGCAGTAGTTCAGTTCTCAAGGTTTTAAGCAAGTGCCACTTCATCACCTTGTATAAAATGGGGGACCACGACAAATATTGTAAATAATCCCCATGCAGCAATGAGACTATTAATCTCTCTGCTAGGCAGTACTAATTCTGTATGTAGTTACGAGATTTACCTGCTTCCCTCCCCTCCCCCCGAGTTACAAGATCTGATATTATGTGTGTCTATAATATAATACATCAGGCTTCTACAGAATGCAAAACTCTTTCTCATTGGTGACTGGTTTATGAATAGGTTTTTGTCATACTTACGTTTGACTTCATACATCTACGTTATCAAGAAAGGCACCTGGGAGTGAGCACAATAGCTGAAAATTGCAAACGCTATATATGCATACATACATACCCAGATTCTTACAGGGATGTTACATATGTATGTACTGATCTCTCTCTTCGTTCATACATAATAATGGGTAATTTTTTTATTCTTAGAAGGGAGTGGAGGCACTGACAAGTCCTGAAAGTTCAGATCATTGTAAATAGCATGCTGCCATATAACAAACAATGATAATGCCAAGAGGACTCCAAGGCTGATATTGGATGGTTCTTCACCTGTCCCAAAAGCCCTTCACATATAGAGGCAGGGTTCTTTCCTGTCACTTCTTTAGACTGTTGGGTTTGCATAGCACCAATATGCTCCTGGTATGCCACTCTGATACAGAGGCAGCAGCCTAGGGCAGCAGGTATATGCTTAAAGACTGGCTCCCTGTGTGGTCCCCCCTGCTTCTGATAGAGGCAGCAGCGTGGGAGGGAAGGGGAAGCTTGTGTGTAACCATGAAGGTTATCCTTTAAACATGTACTCTGACATCCCTTATTTGGTTAGTGAAAGTAGGCAGAGAAAATGGCAGAAATGGTGTTCGCCCGCTTCTTTTTATCAAAGCTTGCAGTCTAGTCTTAAGAATTTTTATAACCACTGTTGCTAGCTAGACATTCGGAAGCAGAAGAGAGTCTTAAGGTACGTCTAGACTACATGCCCTTGTCGCCAGAGGCATGTAGATTAGGCTACCAGACATAGGAAAATGAAGCGGCGATTTAAATAATCACCGCTTCATTTAAATTTACATGGCTGCCGCGCTGAGCCGACAAACAGCTGATCAGCTGTTTGTCGGCTCAGCGCGGCAGCCATGTAAATTTAAATGAAGCGGTGATTATTTAAATCGCCGCTTCATTTTCCTATGTCTGGTAGCCTAATCTACATGCCTCTGGCGACAAGGGCATGTAGTCTAGACGTACCTTAAGACTCTCTTCTGGTTCCTTCCGTTCGTGAGTGGCCATAAAGCTGTAGATATATTGATCTGGCCACAGACACACACGTTTGTCGCCACAGACTGAGTTATTGCAGTGTAATCTGCATGGGGCTATCCTGATTGGACTACCTACTCTAAGCTTTTCAGAGGGAAGGTCTTCCCTGCAAACTTACACTCCTCTCCCTTCTCCCCTATTTATTTTGGGTCTGCACATCCTAAACTCATAACTCCGGTCATCTAAAGAAGTGGGCTGTGCCCACAAAAGCTCATGATACCATCTACATGTTTTGTTAGTCTATAAAGTGCTACCAGACCTTTTGATGTTTACGTTTATCCTGTACAGACTAACTTAAGTTATATAAAGCTTCCGGGGGTAAGTGTGAGTGAAAAATCCACACCTCCTGAATGAAGCAGTTAAACTGACCTGGCCCCCTGGTGTAAACAGCTCTAGGTCTAGGGGAGTGAGACAGCTTCTCCGGGAAGTAGTAATGTCTTCACTGAAGCACTACAGTGATTTAAGTGTAGATCTGCCCTTAGTTGAATGTATAGGCCGTCCTTGCTATAAGTCCAAGATACATTCAAAAGAATTTGGACTTATAGTGAAACAAAGCGGGGAACTCTTTTCCTGTGGCTGACTTCCATTTGCGTATTTGGGGGGGGGAGGGGTTTATACGCGGGAAATGGAAGACTTATCAGTTCCTATAAGCATCAATGACTTCAGTGCAGAACGGATGTATACCGGGGTGACTTATAGCGGGGTTGTTCTGTATCATACTGGTGCTGTGTAAGCAGCACTGGCTGCCAGTTTGTTTCCAAGGGCAGTTGAAGTCCTTGCATCTATAGTGTTTTTTGTGATTTGCGTCCTTGTTTCTTTTGAAGGCTGCATCTCTTGCTGTGTTATACCATGACAGATGAGGTACCTGAAATTGCATGCATTTTGGGGTAAAAATCCCCTCAATTCTGGAATCCGATCTCCCAGTCCCTTGTTCTTTGTTCAGTTTGTTGAAGTTCAAAGCATGTTGTACATCCAACTTATTTCCCTAAGAGCTTTTAATGTAGAAG